GTGGCTCAGTGAAAATTGATCAGACATTATCGACAGGTATTAGTCTAAGATTTTTGATCGATACCTACCACAAATCATCCACGAATGAGTTTTTGGAAGCGATTCCGTGCGTGGTACATTGCCATTAGCCCAAGACAACATGGGCTGCCGCAATTCAAGCCTCAATAATTTCATTGAAAAGTAAGTAATTGACTGCGTTCTTTCACTTACAATGTTATAGTCCTGTCCCAGCCAATAGACATGCGTGGAATTCTGGTTGCTAGCAAACTAGCTTTTGCCAGAACCTCTTTCTTCAATAGAAAAACGTTACACATCACGTCAGAAGCTATCACATGATTTGCGCTTTCTTTTTAGGCGGTTAGTCATGTGACAGGAGCATTCGACCGGTTGAGAATAAAACAGGGAAATAGTTGTCTGTGCGTAAAGATTGTAGGCGCCGTTTTTCAGACTTAAATGCTTTAGCTTTACAAGTCGCCTTGTTTCGAGGTATGTCTTAATTCACTCATTGAAACGGTGGACCAAGAAACTAAGGTCCTGAAGAAACACCAATGCATTTCAGTGGTTTTATTGCTAGACCCCACTCTTCTAAGGCTTCGAAAATCGGTGTCTAGGCGGTCACCGCAATCGCCACGGTACCTGTCACCCAAGAGCGCCTCGATAATGCAATGTATTACCTAGTCATAAGAGGATATGTGACATTTGTAAAGGTTTGGACAGTGTGTGCCTGTTCTACAACGACTATGTCTGCAACAAACCTACGTGACATTTTGCCGCGTAGGAAAGCTTAGCACATTCTATTGTCGCTCATTCTCGTCAGAATGGGAGTCAGCCTAGTTACGTTCCAAGTAGAATTCGTCATGCATAAATTATTCAAGAACCTAAGAACCGAACTGTGTAACTGAAATTCGTTGAATCCAGTTTATTAGAAATTCAAAATAACACCCTTTTAATAAATAAATTTTCAAGGTTCGTCAAAAGTAACGATGCCATCACTCCGTTTTGTGATAGGAGCTAACTCATTGGTTAGTAAGTCGACGTTGTGACCTTCAAGATGGCTGATTTTACGAGGCATCGCAGTTTGGTCATGACCAGTTCATGTGTTAACAGGTACCACTGTAGTGTCTTCAGTGGAGTCACCAAATTGCCAAATGTTAGACTGCACGGCCCAAAGGTGTACTTCAGTCATAGACGATGCACGAAAGTCAAGTGCTCAAAGAATATAGTTGAATCAATGCCATGCGAGCAAACTCTATGAATGGCAGGGAAAAGGACGCAAACAAGCAGCCGATATACTAAGGGGGGAGGGTTGCATTAATTCCGATGAGAACTCGCCCATTCTTGAACATTAGTTCAGGTTGTAGGGAGGCGAAGTCGCCGGACGTTTGTGTCCTATGCAAAAAGCGCCTAAAAGCATAGAGAAACAAAATACAGTTGACTTATCCACTTTGTGATTTGCCGAAATTATCCTTGGTGTATTCAATAAATTAACAAGCAAGTTTAAAATGGCAACTGTCCCTTTTCTTTCAATTGATTACAATACCTCTCCACAGAAGCGCATAAGACAGAACCTTTTGAAATAGCTTGCGCATTTTAGAGAAAGGTATTTGTCTTGATTTCTACATGCAAGAATGCCCCTTGTCTCGAAAATACGCCAACGCTCGAAGAATTTAATCGCTACACGACTACTTGCATGCATATTCTATTCAATTTGCACTATAAACTAGAATTTATGCAGGTTAATGTAATGGCCAGCTATTTCCTAAATATTTAATTATCTGCAGCAAATCAGTGAGGTTCGTTGAGGCGGAGCAATCGTGTCCTGGGTTTATTTTGCCATTGTTATGAAGTAAACATCAGAAATGCATTAATTAGTTATGTAAAAGGCATTCGTAATCTGAAAGAAAGACGACTTTAGGCAATAACTTCAGTAATGAAGCGTAGTTCAATCGACAAATGCTATTAAAGAATTGTTTTTCTTACGGACAAAATCGAATGCTAGTCTTAATTTTATAAACCAAAACACAAAAATCCGGAATCCACGCTCTATTATGCAGGAGTAGGGACGGTGTAGTGGAATTTGTTGAAAGGCGATCCTTTCTACTAGGCACCTCGAGGTGGTCTAGCGTAGTTTTTGGTGACTTGCTGTTCGTATTTTTTGATACATTAATCGGGGCATTGGCTGGAGCCGCGCGCGTGTATGAGTGCCACCAATGTTGCCATGGCACAACTGAAACAGGCTCAGCCCTAGAAGTCATTGGTCATCCAAACCACAACTGCGAAGGTATCAGAAAACACTAGTGGATTTTGGTTGCTATCAAATTGAGGAGCACAAATGCCCAATCGCCGACTTGTGAGTTCAACCTTTCTTTCCAACACCTCACTTTTAGTCAAAGTATAGCTTGAAGTAGATCTACCACCTCACTTACTCGAATGAAAAGGTGCTGGAGCATTGCAGGATGACTTGAAGTATGGACGTCACTTTTTGTGGTGGTTTGCAATTTTTTCCACCACAGTGACATCGTTGCCTGATTTCTTCCACTTCGTTCTGTGATCAGCTGCCTCAGAATTATCGAAAAACTTAATCGAGTCAATTCCTCACATTCCTGTTTAAAATAGGGCTTTGATTAATCCAGATTCATAGTTCTTTTGAGACCAACATAAGGTGACCACGTTTTTTATACAGAAGTTGGGGCAATGAGCAAATCATTGGGGAATTTGAAATCTAGTATTGATTAATGGGCAATACAATTTTCACATTTATTTAATCGCGTAGAGATTTCAGTATATTTCGAAGGTTCATTTGGTTTAAAATGGGTTCAAGCAGATATAACTCTGGATTTAGCACCCAGCGTTTTAGTATTTTATAATAATTCTCCTCCGATTAATTATATCCATCGTCTTTGGGCTCACTGTTCCATATTTGGAGATGAAGTACTGGAAAAGGTGGTTCTTAAGTTGTAGTGGACACTGGAACTCTACAGATTTCACTAGTAATTATTTACATTTAGGTCTACTTGGCTGGTACAAACGGATTTGAAGGAATGCCGAGAGACGATATGCCCGATTTAAAGTTACTTCACCCAAACTAGTGCCTCACCTTAAATTTACTTGCGGATATTCTAGTTTTGCTCCCCGTAGAAGCGAAATGAGTATGAACGTACCTATTGCATTTCAGGGTTTATCGTAAAAACTTCACGTTAGATTAAACGTATCCTAATTGTTTCGCCGTATTTGGATAAACAAGAAGTCAAGTAACGTCTGAGAACCAGAATTTCACCGCTTATCCGATTGCTCTTATCACGTTAGATGGCAGCTGAAACCTGGCGACTGCCACATGCGAAAAAGCGAGTTAGCCAATCAGATTGCTGAATGTGGTCACCCCTGCGCACGTAGGAATCACACGGGACCGCGCATTTCGGTTGGCTAAATTAGCTCATTCATATGCGCTAATGCGAGAATCATGCGAATCACGTCCGATTTATCAGTTCGGACACACACCCTTTACACCCAATTCGCGGTCGGTCGTGCACTGGTTTACATCTGCTGTCCCGGTGAGTAAAACAGCCCTCGTGGCCTCGTAATCTAGTGTACTTTTTCTAATTCAGCGCCAGTTCTTAAAAAAGCTATCTCATGTAGGCCTAAGCATCTCCAACTTGTGCACGGTTAAAATCAAAGTGCTTTCATAACATGGACTGTTGAGAAGTAGACTTTGACGTCTAGGCTCAATCCCAGACTGAATTTTTTATACCATATCGTGAGTTGGTTTTATACTTAGGCATCTAGTTCTAATTTTTCGTGGGCAGAAAATCAATAAGTACAAGAATCAGAGGGACTTCGGCAAATCACTCAAAGAGTTCAATCTGTGGTTAAAAAGGTAAAAGGTGGGATTCTGTGTATTTTCTGGTTGGTCCTTCGTGTTGACCGTATTGACTGAGGGTGTCCTCAATCTGTTTGCAAGGCATCATCCTAGATCAAGCATTGTCGAGTGTCTCGCAGATGGCATTTTAGAGTCTATTGTACCCTTACGTTGCTGCCAGTTGGTAGACATTTGCGTTTCAGGAAATGTGGACTAACGTGCATTAAAGAAAACGCTCTTTCATGTTACCAGTCCATTTGGTATAACAGATTTTGCAGAAGCGAGTGTATTTTGATGCTGGAGGGGCTATCTGATGCTAACAGTAATTGATTTCGCTTACGGCAGTTACTTTTTAACCCTGTACGTCCAATCAATATACCGGAAGGGGAAGAGTGTGGTCGAATGTTTACGACCTTTTCATGGAATCTCTCAAACGGAGCATAAGTAAATCTTTGGAGATTTCCCCAAGCTCCATTGGATATCTAGGATTCTCTGATTCAAATTTACGTTAAATCCAATTGACTGGATCGCAATAGTGATACAAATATTGGATCAATTACAATCAGAACTAACTGGTAAAATCAATGTTCACTATTTACTAATTAAAGCCAAGGAATCAGTGTAATTTCCACAAATGCAGCCTGCGTTGTTCGATGTGACCGTTCACGGAAGACAAGGAATTTATGTGTATTTCGAGGTGCCCTCAGCCATATTCACAATGTGGAGGCCTCTCCATCAGTTCCTAAGGTAGATTTTCCACCCACTCAACCAAGTTTCGTGATGGAATTAGGGTACGCGTACTGACACGGTAAAAGTGCACGGTCTGAATCTCTAGTCCCAGGCACAAGCCACTCTGTCGTCCACATTTTATCTTTTTGCATTTTTCAAGGTCAGCAATAAAGGCTTGTCCTCGTAGTCACACATTCCCATTCTGACGCCAAGGCGGTCGGGACGGTCGTGTACCTCGGAATTGATAGACTGATAAATAAATTAACTTAAATTTTCTTCTTTTGAGATTTATCAATTGGTTGCACTTATTGAAGTCTGAAAGGGAGGTGCAAGAATGACTTCGGGACATGTTGTAATCAATAGCAGACAACGGCGAGAACGCTGTAACCCTTGTAGAAACCTGAAGGCTCCTCACATGCCCAAGGTCACGTGTCCGAGGAACAAGGTGAGTCGTTGCTTGGCCAATTTCCCTTATCGAAAGCATCGATGCTGTCACGAGGAAGCAATGCATGAATCAGTAAATTAGCAGCGTATTCTATTTTTGAATCAGTCGGGTTGTAGGATGCACTTGTAACTCCGGTATGCTGAAAAAGGCCTCCAACGGTCTCTGTGCGTGTACTTTCACCTTTTTGATGGGTGGTTAGCAGATGGGAATCTGGTTCCAGAGAGTAAAATCGGCCCAACTCAGGTAAATCTTCACCGTTTCACTCCTGGTTGGCTGCTTATTGGTTTATTCCAACATCTGTACCTCACTTGGCTCCGTGTGAGTAGGATAATTATGTCGACCTCGTGGATAAATATTCTACCATTTTTTAGACTCCCTCACATTGGCATTTCACGCTCTCGTGGTTCACTATGGTTCAAGAATTCCACCCCAAATTCCTCACTCCTTTTTACCAAACCCTATGTTCCCGGTTCAGAATGCTGTTAACCTCCTGGGAACGCGCAGTTGCTACTCAAGGGAGCATGGAATAATTACACTGAATTTTTAATTTTGGCCTAGCTTAAGGCACAGGAAAACTAGTTCAATGCACTCCGCTGTATTTTTGAGCTAATTATCATTACCGAGTCACGTGTATAAATGAGGTCAGCTAAAGGCCCTTGTCAACTTCCACAGCAGCAATCTGTTTAACCATGATCATTCCATTCAATTTCAGTGCTGCAATTGGTTCCGGAAGGCGGACAACATTCAACTCCTGTTGACAATCACGTCCGTAGTATTAGGCCTGGTAATAGGCATTTCTGTGAAGACCGCCTACCCGAACATCAGCCGTCGCACCGTCGACCTAGTCGCCTTTCCCGGAACGCTGCTCATGAACATGCTCAAGATGCTGATCATTCCTCTAATCACATCAAGTCTCATTTCTGGTAAGCGTATGCAATAATGAAGCCATCCTATTCAGCGAATATGCCAGTGGGTAGTTATCCCAATGGTAGCATATCCTTATGAATAATTTCAAGTTTTAAGATGCAGCATGGGCTTAATTATTTGCATATAACGCAGAAGTCTAGCTGCTAGGTTAAAGAGTACATAAGTCGGAAATTAAGTGAGAAATGCAATCCTTAATCGCCCTGTGAACCGGCGCGGAACGAATTAGGTCGACTGAAACTAGTTTTCTCATCATTTCTCAATTGGTTATTTTTATTTTCTTAACGATTGGAGCCGAGATCGGCATTTGCCATTTACTTGACTATCTATGCATTTGGACGAGTAAATAGCCCAGCCAGTAACTCTGAATTATCCATTTTCCGGTTTACTGTTTTAAACCGGTTTGTATTAGGCCGTAAATATGATTACTAATGACGCTTTTTGTTCATGACTGTTTCCGGCTTAACTTCAGTTTGTTAAATTAATGCAACGGTGAATAGGAATTTGGTCTATACCATCTATCTATCCTGCATGCCGTAATTTGAATAAGGCGCAAACACTATAAAATGTAAATAGTCAAGCAAGCCCACATCTTTTGAAATTATGTATTACTAGTATTGTCAATCATAGCCATAAGAGAGGCCAGGAAAAACACCCAGGAAGTCTGAATTGATTGGGCTTTTTTACCGCAAAATGTTAATTGACTCTTTCAAAACCACTGAAGGGTGCCACCATACAATCCAGTATTTTGGAAAGAAATATTGCTAGGCTTAAATTAAGGTTTTGGGTTCGTGTGGGAACTTATTTCTTTCCAGCAAAACAAAATATCACCATGACTTCACTTTACGTCCGATGTCGTTAGATTAAAACACCTTTTGAGTGCTTTAAGAAGCCAACACGGTCGGAAATTTTGCAAAACCGCAAAAGCGATGGGGAAAGGTTTAAGATCAACAACACCAATGTTGCAGAGAGGGAACAGCTACCAAATTCAATGTAATTTTTGCGTGTGGAAGTTCCGAAGACTTCACGGGAAAAGAGATGTTGCGGACGGGTGGGTTTGTTTACATTAGGAATTGTGCCCTTGCTGAGAACTTTGTCACCCACAAAGTCCTTTTTTTTAAAAACGACATTTATGGAAAGTTCACGAGTATCGCTTGGGTAATGAGTTGTGTATTTTGGATCGGGTGTCCTTAAACCTTAAGGCAAAGCATTATGAGATGAATAAATTTCCCCAATATTTTAGAAGCCATTGGTCATGCGTACTGAGGAGTAAGCGTGGAGGTACTACACTCATTATCCTGTTAATTTTAACTTGAAACTAATGCGAAGTTCTTCACCATAGACATACATTGTGTGTATATGATGCACCGTATCTGAAAAACAGGATCAGCCCTTACATGTGTACTGAGTCGCCTTTTTCGCTCCCCTCCACCGGCTCAGCACCCTCATCGCTGATGGGGTCACGTTTGAGCACATGTCCCCGTGTGCGTCTGTCAACTGTACTCACACTCACGACCACCTTGTGTGTACACAGGACACAACACACAAAGGAGTCAGCCCATCTAATCGACGGTTGTCGCATCCCCGCGTCTCTCTAATCGTGCCAGTTCTCTGGAATCGAGGTCCATGTTGGGGCTTTCTACACATGTTTAAAAATAAAACCTCGTTTGTCATAGGAACTCGCGATCGGATGAATCAACGGTGGTGGATGTGTTGTGTCTCAGTGCAAATGGCAACAAAGAAAGTTCTGTAAAAGAATCCGTGTGCAATTTGTCTTGCCCCATGGTGAATTCTGCATGTGACCAGCGAAAGTCATCTGCGGGAGTTTGCACTCGCTCTCAAGCACACCTGCGGTGTCGTATTTCTAGTTGAGCCAAATGGTGTGTTTATTTGTAATCTGAACAAGAGCGTAAACAGCACTGGTTTTAGAATTTGAGGCACGAAGAACAGGAATGAAGCAATAGGGAACTGTGAGAGTGCGCAAAGATTATTTTCAGCGTTTGGGTTTTAGCACCCAGGTCGAAATTCTATCTTTGATCAAATACTTTCCTTCTAAACTGAATTTCATTTTTAAAAATGGAGGATATACCTTTCAATACGCATTTCAACTTTCCGGATCAAATGAGACACTTTTATCCGATGTTGTAACTCCCGTACTATTTTGCTCATCTTTTCAGGGGATAAAAATACCTCTAATTTGTTGTTTTTTTGCTTTCATTCATGTCCGATAATTACATTAATGCTTTCCTTACAAAGCATTATTCCCACGTTGTAGAAACGCGCAGAATGGTCCGTGTCTTGTCTTTCGTAAACGACATATGCCATTATGTGCTTTTCACGATCCACACACGCTGTCAACAAAGTCGTAAACAGTTCTTTGCTGCTGTTGCTAAATGAGGAAGGTTTTAGTGATGTCTTCGTAAATGGTTGTAGGTATATATTAATTCTGCACTGACTCATCTTGGATGGACGAATGGGGACATATTCAGTTGTGCTGATGTACTTTTGTCACTGGTCGGTGTCAGATGCTTTTAATTTTGTGAAGTATCAGCGGATTACACATTCATTTGTCAATTTTTCTTAATTATTTTTGAACACAAGGTCTTGCCAATTTGGATACCAAGTCCTGCGGGAAGATAGGCACTTACGCACTGATCTATTACTTCACCACCACATTGATGGCCGTCGTTCTGGGCATTATTCTCGTGGTGGCCATTCACCCCGGCAACCCCGCTATCAAGGAGAACCAGGTTTCATCGTCTACCACGTCAAAGACGAGCCCTAACACTCTTGACGCCTTCCTCGACCTTTTCCGGTAATTCGGTGGTTTTTAAATGCACGCTCACGCTCCGGTACTGATTCCAGGCAAGTTGGGTTCGAGGCCAGCAACTTTCTAAGTCGATTGGTGAAGTTGTCATAAATACCAATATCCACCGCTTGCTTCAGAGTGTACTCGGCTTTCATGACTTCTGAATTGGTTGGATTTCTGGCCAGCTCAGTGATCCGTATCAATATTCTCTGCTTTTACGCATTCTTCTTACATCTTATTAGCTGCAGTTTCCTTTTTTCAATACCTTCAGAGTATAAAATACCGACCACAGAAATCACTTACCAAAAAGCACTTTGTCAGAATAGCGTTGACGAATAACTTACCGTGCAGTTTGCCCTTGATATACCACATAAACCAAAGGGAGGAAGTCATGCGAAACTACGTGGATTTAAATTTTAATTTTAGAAGGTCCCCTACGGACAAGCTAATTTTTATGATCATGTGATTCCCGAGGGAAGCGCATCTAGCAGGCGGTTGCAGGATAGGTAGCCGGAGAAATGGGATTGATTTTAAGTGCCATTTTATATAACTGGGCCCCAGTTTCATTCAAGGTGAAGCACCAATCGTCAGCATTGGGAATATATGATTCAAGAACGTGAAAAAAGCACAAAGTTCCGTTTTTCTTGCCCAGCGAACACATGAAGAATTACGGAGTTGGACCACACCAGTAGCTAGACATTCATCGACATTTCAAAATCATAGCACTTTCATGCGCTTTCTCATTACTTTCATCGACACCAAGGTCATAGCATTGTTTTGTAGTTGATAATGTATTTACTTTGGGTACCTGCAAGGACGGATCCTTTTTACCAAGAAGAGTGTGCCGCCGTCCCGAGTCACGTGTTGCATTAAGTCAATCTGACCACGCTCCCTCCTTATAGAAACATGTTCCCGGAGAATATCATACAGGCCTGCACGAAGCAAACTCTAAGCCAGATGACCAATGTTACCGTCCTGCGGAAAGTTAAGGAGGTAAGACCTCAAATGTCGTCTTTCCATTACAATGTGACATTGTCGTTCACACTGGGGCCTCGAGAGTGTGTGTGTGCGATTGCGCACGTGCATAGAACAGCTTAGCAACCAGGTGCTTTGCTGGCAATTTAATTTTCGTCCACAACACAGTCGCCGAAATGCGATATTGTGGCGTCAAAACGTTTTACCTGAAAGTAATTTTAACCAATCGGCACGCAGTTTTGATCACTTTTACGTACTTTAGCATCCTGATCACGTTCTTTACCACCTCACTAATCCGGACTAATTCTTTTAGGGGAATATAACAAAATTCAAGGAATCTGTCGAGGAGTATGCTCGGGCGAGCTTTATAGACAATACCAATGTGCTCGGTGAGTCAACCCAGTGCAATTAGTGTCTCTGCCTTAGTAATTTTTATGCTTATCTGTCGAGCCAACGGAGATTTACTAACTGTTGCTCAGCACCAAACATGCCGGATGCACGCGATGGTATTTGTTTAGCGATTGACAATTAATGGGTCCGAGTCTGGTCAACTAAAACACAACTGGTACGCAAAGTTTGCTTAGTTTGTGGAAATAAAATTTGCTACTAGGATTGCTCTTAAATTCATGTCAGCAGGATCGTCTAAGAGATTTGAATAACTGACCAATCGCGGTCGCCTCGCATCCTTGCACGGAAAAACCACCGTCACGAGAGCGTCAATTAACTCCCGGTAAATCTCCTTTAAAATGTTTTTTTTTTCGTTTTAGCGATTGCGCCTTTAATTAAATCACCTATATTGTTAACCAAAACACGGGCACTTGCTGGAGTTGTTGTACTTTTAAAACAAGACAAAAATGCCAGATTTTAACGAATATGGCCTCTGATAATTGTGCCCTCGACTAGACACCTCTCTTGCTCCTGGTTCACGTATTTCTTGGGGTTCCTTTGGAACTCAAAATGTTATCCGTGTAGAAACCTGTCTTCACTCTTCTGTTATCTCAGTGCATAATCGAACATAACTTGGTAGCATTTCGGTAAAACACTTTGTAGTAGGGGTCTGTTTTCACCACGCAATTATTTACAAGCGGTTCCAAAAAGCATATTAGGTGTCATGGATTTCGTGGAATCCCACCATTTAGCGATGCAAGCCGTTAAAATAATCAGACCAAGCTTTTGGGCTTTGCGTATACCAGGTTAACATTAGGTGATGTGGGGGGTCATTGTCCTGGTTCGTGGGGGCAAGTGGGTTTCCGCGTCTTCGATAAACAACATTAATTTGTACTTTATTGTAGAACTGACCTGGACTTGTTGACTGGCCGATGTTCTTTCGTGGACGCTTTAAGTAATAGTAAACAATCGACTAACCATGCCACATTTTCTTGAAATCGTATGATAGTGGGAACTTTGTCAGGGAATCAAATAACTAATTTCTTGTTTAACGCAAACCTCACGTTTCCGGTATTAGAACAAGGATAAAACCTCGTATAAAGAGCTACTGTCTTAACCAAAGTCAAAGTTTCACGTCTAAGTGAACTGCGGACGTCATAGGAGGGACTCACATTGGTAGAGAGATGTCATCGTAAGCGTAGAAGTTGTGGGCCCCATCATATGGTCTTGAATCACACCGGGACCAGAGAGTTAGACCTGGGTCGATTACGTTACCTTGGTACCCACGATGATGACGACAACCGGAGAGGACGTGGACACAACCGTCTACTTCAGACCTCAACCACGTTGGTGCCGTTGTTTCGTGTGCGGCGTTTGCGCGTGTGTATTTAAACCTCAGATGTGTGTGTCCTAGATGACCTAACATCGAGACCTAGGCGTAAGCCTAAACCGGGATAAGTGTTCTTACGAATGAGGGGGGAGTTGAGGATCCGCGCGGCTGGTGACATGCTGCGAAAAGGGGGACCCTGTGTCGGAGGCTGAAGTGATCGGATTAGCGCGTGTGATACAACGCGATTCACAGCATAGGAATTACAAATTGCGACTTTACGAAGACCTTTACGAATTCTGACTTTCTCAACATTCACTAGTCGTATGGACATGCGATCCACATTTGACATCCAGACTTAGGAAGAAGCGAATACGTTAAACCGAGGCGCCTTCAAAAGGCAAGACTTGGCGCTGTAGTTAAAAAACAATTACAGTGACCATTGTTTTCTTTTTGAAGGTCTGGTTACCTTCTCAATTGCGTTTGGCCTCGGCATCGCCAGTATGGGGAAGCAAGGTCGTCTCATGCTGGACTTCTTCATTATTATGAATGAGATTATTATGCGCCTTGTCCGTGTTATTATGTGGTAAGTGACGAAAATTGCTCTTCTTTCTACTTATATGACTACTTAAGTAAAAAAACGACCGCCTATCCATCCAATCGTTCGGTAAACTTTCTTGCTGTGTGGAAATGTGGCTTGGTTCAGACTGAGACTGAAAGTCAGCATCGCGAGGAGGCAGTCAACTTCTCTGCGTCCACTGCAAGCGGTGGCGCCTGCTTTAACGCCGCACACATGTCTGTCCACAAAACGTGCGCACATGTCTGTCTCACTAGTCACGCGTTCAAATGCAATGATCGACGGCCAGCATGGCTTCAACATATTTTTACCGCCACAAGAGCATAGCCCCAAAAGCTAGGCTTCCGGTTTTGTCTGTGTAATCGGGCCGGGAGGGATTTGTCAACACAATAACGACTCTTAATGGCCTGTTCCAAGGCCTGAAAGAGTAACATTTCTAAAACGCCATGTCTGCATCTTGATACCTTTGAGCACAGGTGAACGAGCCACTTTAAATTTACCCTGGTTGAATTGTCAACATCATCCAGCAAGTCAGCTGTCCCTTCTCAAGGTCTTTGCATTCCACTAAGCGTCGAGTTGTCATCAATCATACATGTTCCAGCAGTTCGAGATAAAACTTAGACTGGGGGAGATTCCGCACTCGGAAACCAATTGATGGTTGAAGGAGACACAAATAACCGGTATGTTTATCCTACATACCAGTTATTACGTTCCTCTCATCATCTGTTAGGTTCGACATTCGAAAGTACCAATTGTGTCGCCGTTGAGTTCGTCATCTAGTAATGACGAAATTGCCTTTGGGTCTTGCTACAGTCAGGTTTGTGCACACCAGTCACAGCTGGCAAGCAGTGCATAAGTAAAACAGATCGCAGTGTAGATGCCGCTTGGTGTGACTTAACCTTAATTTGGACACAGAGCTTCAAATAAACTAGTGCGCATTAATGGCGGGCAATTGTCGTCAAGACATCGTCTGTAAGAGCTAACCAGCTTCTCTTCTCTCTATTCAGGTACGCTCCATTTGGGATAATCTTTCTTGTCATCGGCCAGATAATCGCCATCGATGACCTAATGAGCACTGTTACAGGCCTAGGGCTGTACATGTTGACGGTGATATCAGGCCTGTTCATCCACTTATTCCTCACGCTCATGTTGATGTACTTCATTATCTGCCGTAAAAACCCCTTCACCTACATACATGGGCTCTTCCAGGCCTTCTTTATGGCTATTGGAACTGGATCCAGCTCGGCTACCCTACCCGTCACCTTCAAGTAGGTGCACTTTTCGTAGTATCACATTTCCGTGGATACACTAGTCAAGCAATTAGGTTGCCAGCATCGCTGGGTTACACTCCTTCATACTAACAACCCCAGCGGTTGCTAGTTCAACGTAGGTACATTTATATTTAGAAAGCAGTGCAGGATTTTACTAAAGTTCTTGTGATTTTCGCATTCTATACCTTCAGCCCATTTGGGTATGAGTCAACAACAGTTTAAGTATGCTCTTGTGGTAGAATTTGAATCACCTGGAATTAAAGTCAAGGCCAGATTACTCACTTAACAGTCGAAGCTTAAGAGATCGTTTGATCCGCAATGCCTCTGCCTCTTTGTTGACCCTCCGCCTGGCAAGTCGATTGCATGATCGCGTTCTGGTGAAAGGAGTCGCAGATGAGTTAATTGGGAATGGAAGAAATGAAATCTCTCTAATCCATATACATTTTCCGCGGCCAAAATTAGTACCAAAAGTCGTTTACCAGGCTGCCCTGTCATTCTCTCATTCCGCGCACGCCTAAACTGGTGACACATATTGTCGATGCGAATTCAAGCCACGTAAACGCACGAATTTTTTCAGCTGCAATTGTTTATAATTAAACAGCGGCTACTGCTTCCAATTCGGCTACAGCACACGATGCTGGCGGTCAAGGCGAGAAGTCAATAAAGCACAATTGTTGAGTAAAAAGCTGAAATTTTCCTGTTTTGGTTCCTCCCTTCCTAGGTGTCTGGAGGAGAATCTCGGTATTGATGCCCGCGTGACCCGTTTTGTTCTTCCAATCGGCGCGACGGTAAACATGGATGGAACTGCACTCTACGAAGCCGTTGCGTGCATCTTCATAGCTCAAATCAACGAATTACCACTCTCTGCTGGCCAACTCGCCACAATTAGGTATGCCAGTAGCGTTTAGTGAATGGAGGTGGACTATAGTTCCATAATTCTTGACTCTGTACCGAAAGTTAATTAGCGAAAACTCCTACGTGGAAGAAATCAATACACACAACCGTAGGCATTCCAGCCTCCAGGCAAACCAGAGTAAACAGTAATCGCCACTTCTAAAGGCGATAAACGTGTATTTGGGAGTCGTAGGCATCGCTGACACCAAGCCAAACAAAGTTGTCGCAGGTGCACTGTGTGGATTCAATTCTTTACCTCCTAGCCCACCATGTTGACTGAGGTCACTAGCATTTCGAATTCATTTTGAAATTTTTTTCATTTGGTGAGGTGGGCCTTTTTAGCTAATTTAAAACAAACTCCAAAAATTGATCAAGCGTCTGTATTTTCAGCATAACAGCCACTCTGGCTGCAATCGGGGCCGCTGCAGTGCCTAGTGCTGGCTTAGTTACCATGGTGATGGTTCTCACCTCCGTGGGTCTCCCGGTCAATGACATCGCCCTCATCTTCGCGGTTGATTGGATGTTGTAAGTCACATGTTTGTATGTCTACTGACAGGAAATTAGTACCAGATGCTCACCAAATGTTCGAAATTTAGGGATCGAATACGCACTTCTATCAACGTAATGGGTGATGCCTTTGGTGCGGGGATTGTGGCTCACCTATGTCGGGAACAACTGCGGACGCCAGCGAAGCGCCTTAACAGCGTCTGTGTTGCCGTGCCAAAAACCAAATGGAACGACAACTTGGATGACAGCGCCGACGAATGCGAAAACGACAGCAATAACCATGACATCTCTGTCGAACTCGTAGAAGCAACTTCAGCTCAGCGACCATCGTCATAACTTTTGACTGCACACACACCACGTCTACATTGATTATCATCCGCCCAAATATGAAAACTACTTATTGATTCTGAATTCACTCAAACATTCTTCAGAGGCCAGTCCTTTCTTGTGTTTGTAACTCGTGTGGCAAAAATTTCAATGGTACATTATTTGCATACTGATCGGTGTAAGTAGGTAAATGTGAAAGATTAACTGTTTTAATTCAGAGCGTTTTTTGTTTCTACATAGGCAAATAACTCTAAAGATGGATGGCGTAAAACTCTCATTCATGTGCATGTAATAACTAAACTACCACAAAAGGAAGCGTGGTGGAGGCAGCGTGGACGTTCATTGGTCATCTACAGCCTCTGTTGATTGGTGTTGGAACGTGTCAGTTCGTGCCAATCACCTCCGCGTGCACATATAGTCGATTTGAGTGCACTTCAAACGACGTTGTGTAGTTTATCCTACTGGGAGGGAGGCAGAGGTTTGGCTGTTTGGGTCTTCGTAAGTTATTTGCTGTGTGTTGACTGTTCAGTAGTAATAAGTCGCCTGATTTGTTGCCCGGAGATATTGGTGTGTTCCAGAGCTCAAATAAGATTTACCAATTAAGATTTGACTAAACAAATGTCAATTTTGAGAAAACTAGCTTACTTTGGTTACCCTCATTGGTAGAACTAGGAGTGGACTGTTTTGTGTCTGCGAAAAACGCTTGTTACTTGAAAACAATATATTGCAGTGATAAAGCATAACTCAACAGGAACCAATGGTGTGCTGAAGTTGATGCCTGCAAGGTGATCATTTCTATCTCCTGACTAAGATGCACTTGGACATGTGTAAAACCGTCGATGTGAGGAAGGAAACCTACCTTTTTTCAGTAACTGGATGAAGGGGATTGACTTGGAGAGGTCACGATAGAATCAAGAGCATTACTACTTCATCGTCGTCAGTGGCCGAACTAATGGGTTTTCACAATGAACAAGTAACAAATTCAAAACCTCCTCATCCATGTACTAAAAGGCAGCTGACAATTGAGGTCTTGTTTTAAATTACTTTATAAGACAATGGTATGCAGAAAATGGGTTTGAATATCTCCATTTTTAAAAGCCATGACTTTTGAACAATTTTGCGTGCGGATGATTAGCATTTTTAGGCGCAGTTGCTTGGTATTAATGTTGATTTTATCATTTCTGAAACACGGCTTTGTAGACCTGCTCATCAGAGAACAAGATGAACTGCCTGAATGCAAGCTACAGCTGATTGTTTTCACTACTGGTTGTCACCACATGGTATAGGCACTGGTTAGTTCGACATTGTACTACGCACTCGGAGCATTTAAAGAAATTCGGTAAAAATTTTGAAACCCAAATGCCACCTTGCCAGGTCTGACTCTACATTCGTGGAGTGAGTCCAGACGGTGAAATTCTGAAAATTTAGTTCGTGTTGATAAAATTGTACCCTCACGAAGCGAAATGCTGTGCCAGTCCATTCCATACAAGTTCAAAGTATCGCTATTTCAGCACCTCTAATAAGTCCTCTGTGGTGATGTCAAACGAAAACTGATTTGTTGGGACATGGGCTGGAAAAAGAGATCAGGCCAAAGACCTACAGAGGATACCCTCCGTTGTGTTGAAACTAAAATTTAGTAAACAAAATATCGGTCTTGAGTATTTAATTCGTGATCTGGCTACGACCCTGGAAGGCGTGTCGTCTACGAAATACATTCTTCCGATAATATTGCGGTGCATCGAATTCCAGTGTGGTAATTTCTTGCTTTTTGATCGCACAATTTGAGCTTGTTCTCTGTGCTCCCAGAAGTCTTCGCGACCACGTCCAACCTCAAGTGGGTTATCGATTGTTCATGCTAGCTGACTTGACAGCTCCTTTCTACCCTCTACACACCTCAGTGTACATCTGTTTGCATTTGACCAAACAGTCCAATAGAACTGCTACTTTGCTGTAAACCGTACCATCGCAATCTCGCTAATTGCTAGAGATTTAATAATGTTTGATACTGCTGTCGTTGCGTGGCATGTTTTCAAACGGTCCGTGAATTTCACTCATCGCCCACCTGAAGGCGTTGTGCTACGGACCGAACTTCGACCACCGGCTGCAAGCTATACCCAATGCACTTCAACAAATTATAGTCACATATATGTAACCATTGTTTATCAGTCTGTGCATAGAAAGCACAATGCAATTGAGTATTTTTAGGTTTCTTTGTGATTCATGTGTTGGCTTCTGTCTCAAGGGCTTTCATTTTTAGACCTGAAATCAGTGCATTCTCGCACGCGTTGAACGCTTGGGAGGCATGTGGTGGCGTGGTTAGCACGACCATACAACCCTCTAGTTAACAGCCCGTTACAACCCGAGAAGGGGCGAAAGGGGGTGACAGAGAACACGATTGTTTATTAGCGTCTCACCGCAAGCCACATGGCATTGTGTGAGAACTGCAACCACGAGCCAATAACAAAATGGGTGAGTCATTGGTACGGTCGGGCCAGCATACACGCATCCCTCAGGCGGCGTGGCTTTCCGTCCACCACGGGCACAGCAGAAAAAAGCAGCAAATTGAGCCACACCAGCACACTCGGAATGGTTTGCCAATGCATTAGGGCTAAATTTATATACTGCAAATGTAGCCTTAGTGATTCGCATGAAAATGAGTGATACATCCCAAACAGTACCTCTCCTACCGAAATTCAATGGGAAAAAATATGGCTAACTCGTGCACAAACTTGGAAGTGTCTTTTCAGTGTACGACCTATGCGTTTTATCAAAGATATTAAGTCCTAGGACATTCATGAGGTCTACTTGTACTTCCTAACAGAGATACGGTTGTCTCAACAACTTCTAATATCAAAGAGGTGAAATTGGCCAGGTATGGAGCTGCTCAAAATAGGCCAGACAGAAGGAAACAGTCGATCGGACTGGTCCAGCCATGGTGGTGCGGCCTATGCCATGGGTACGAAGGATTGCACGTTTCCAAGATGATTCGGAAACAGTGAATTAGTCGAATACCTAGAAGAAACCTTTTATTGACGTATGGTGACTGAGGGTCAACTCTGATTCAATCAGTCTGTCAAACTGCGGCAAGCAGCATCATCGCATTGATGGTCCCATTGAAACCGTTGTCAGGAAACATGTATCACTAAATTTCGTGGGTAATGTGAATCTTTTCGTAACTGTAGGACTGCATATCCACGTGAGTTTTTTGCCCTTTTAATTGCACAGATATGCTAATGAAGGCGTCAGGTACAGTTCAGTTCCATTACCAAGTAGAAACTGAAAGCTGTGTGATCGATACGGCCAGCAACTCTTCTAGGGCAAAATATTACATCGACGACGAGGTGGTAATACCATTAGAGTTGAGTGAAAGGATTCAATTTGTAACCACTGCGTGCATTCTGTCCAAAAGTGGTGCTATTTAAGAATAGAACTATCATCTATCGAATCACTCAAATTCAACTCGATGGCTATTCACTTAACCGTCAAATATTTTGAATTAAATAAATCTTTTCTACTTAATGTAGCTATTGGGGCGTGTAAACCTTAGTTTCCTCTCGACAACCTGAACTGTCAATGATTAAAGTCCATTAAAGTAATTCGAATTTCACGATCGTTTATTATAAATTCTGGTAAAATGAAGACACGAGTGGTCGTCGATTTTGTGTGTTGCTGTCCCACGGCGAAGTGTTGCTCACATAGCAGACGGACCCTCCCTAGATCTGGGATGAGGCTGCAGCCTGAAATTGGGCCGAAATGGTTTGGTTTTGCGGTGACAGCCAATGGTCATGGATCCCTGTGTTGCGACATTTGACGCGGTTGTTGCAACTCCACTGAATGTGAATACATAAGGACAGTTCGAGGCTCTTCCACTGTATTCGATCACAGTCATGACTAGGAGAAAGAATTGCCACATGAGAAATGAATGCGCACAAACGGATTTCGCTTTCTTGTGTCGACTTTGTCACATTTCTGTGCAAATTTGGCCCGAAGGTCATGGTCATCATTTAAAGGGTTAGGCATCATCCAGTCCTGCTTACTTCATTAATGACGCATAATTACATTATCCGTACGAATCATTGCGCCAATTGAGGGTTTGTGTAATCGAATTGACGGTTTTAACTTTAACTGGAACGATGAGCATCCCCTTGGCAGTCAACCGCTAAATGATCCTCCTGTGACTGCAGGACAAAGCAAAAATTTACCTTGAATATGATCGTCACGTGCGCTTGTGGCTAGTTGACCGTTGTCTCTTCTATGGTCATCTTAAGCTTTTAGAAAGACCTTGTAATCACCTGTTATGAAATAAATCAACATTTTGTAGGCAGTTTTCAACTCGTGTCGTTTGTAGTGACTGCAGTAGAGTTATCACAGGTGATAACGAAGGGAGTCGATACGAACCATGTGCAAATAACTGTCTGCTAATCCACTAATGACTTGTAGGTGATTGTGTTTAAATTCTGAACTCACGATCACCTTTAGAGACTTCTCGGTAGCTAAAGTCTGCAGGTTGGTGTTCAGCATTAATGTCATTGTTCACTGTGGTTGAGCTTCACATGAGCAAAATTTAATTATGCTATTGATAGACTACTAGTTTCCGTAGGGACGACCTTATTAAATGGGATTTCACTGGCACTGCAAATAAACCAGTTCTGGAACTCTAAATAACAGATTAATTTCTCGATGTTTTTGGGGGCTTAATTCGACCCAATTTTTAGGCCACCTTGAGCCCAATCCTGCGTAAAAGAAGGGGATATGTAGATATTGGATAGCGATTTATTAGGTTTATTCACTGAGCAAGCATTTAACGAAAAAGAAAGAGCAGATTTGTGTAGACAACGCCAGCACCGATGATGAGAAATCAAAAAGAGCCAGAAAGAGGAGCACGCATTAGAGCGAGTTGGAGGCTGCTTAGTTCCTTACGATGGGGTAGCACCTGGTGCGTCGCCTCTTTGGATGGTATGGTGTCGAGGTGGTGCATGGTAGCGAGCAGTATATGTTCGTGAAGCCCA